CGCCGAGGACGCCCCATTGGAGTGTCCGTGCGGCCTCGACAAAAGCCCGTGGCCCGCGAGCCCACCGACGACGACCGGCGAGCTCAAATGGTTGCATATTCCCAAAGCCGGCTCCTCCTTCGCCGTGACCATGGTGCAGACGCCCGCGGCCTGCGCGACAGTCTCGTCCGCGGGTCTAGCCGCGGCCATGCGGTACGTCCACCCCCCCGCTCCCTCGAAACGGACCCGCGCCCCCCGCGCAGCGCGTGCGACGACCCGACGAAGCTGAAGAAGAAGGACCGCCGCGTGCAGCGCGCGTGCCTCCTCGAGGTCCTCCGCGGTCGGAGCCCGGCCTGCGCCGACGCGGCGGCGAAGCTCTTCGTCGGCCACGACCCCCTGCCGACGCGCGGGCCCTCGGGCGCCTACGCGGGCATCTTCCGCGAACCGGTCCGTCGCCGCGTCCCGAGCCTTCCCGAGACATTTCCCCCTATGGCCGCGCCCATATAGGTCGCGCGGCTGAAGAGCCTCGTCAAGCACACCCGGGCCGCGGGCTACGTGCCCGGGGGCATGAAGCGAAACAACCTCTTGGACAACGGCACGGCGACGCTCGCGGCGTTCGCGAAGAAGCCCGCGCTGTTGGGCTGCGCCGCGCGCATGCTCAACGGCGCGCACTGCGTGTCGCCCCTGCCCGTGGGAGACCGCGACGTGGCACTCGCGGAGGAACGCGTGCGGACCATGCGCTTCGCGGGGCGCGGCCGCCGGCGTCCGTTCGTCGTCGTCGAGGCTCGCGAGCGAGAGAAACTGGAGAGACGCGCGCCGTCGTAGGCTCACGGAGGAGTGGGTCGCGTCCGTGTGCCTCTTCCACCGGGTCCTGGGCCTGCCGCGGCCGAAGCGCGCGCAGGCGCTCAACACGCGCGCGAACGCCGGCGCGGCCGACGCGCCGCCGGACGAGGTCGCGCGGCCGGACGACGCCGCGGACGCGCGCGTCTACGCGGCCGCCGCGGCCAAGTTCGCCGACGACCTCGAACGGCACGGCGCGGACGGCGCCTGCGTCGCCGCCGCGCGCGAGCGCGGGCGGAACGCGCGCCGACGCTACGAAAACGCCGAGGACCCGCGCGAGCGGCACGAGGCCCTCGCGCGCACGAGGCCCTGAGCGGCACAAGGAAATCCGCGAGCGCTTCGCGGCGGCGGAGGCGCGCCTCGCGCGCGCGACGGCGGACTACTAACTAATTCGATACTAGTTAGATGCCACGAAACGCCCTCCTCCCAAACTCGTTACAAGGTGGACCGCCCGCGCTTCGACGCTACACTCGTTAGAAGATGGACCACCAGAGCGCGGCCGCGAGCGCCGGGAGCACCGCGAGCAGCACCGACGCGACGCCCGGCCGCCGCGCGGACGACGGCGCCGGCGCCGGCGCGGCCGCGGTCGCGTCCTTCGGCGGCGCGTCGCGCGCGAGGCGGCCGTCGAGATTGGCGAGGGCGTCGCGGAGCGCCGGCCGGCCCGCGGCGTCGGCCTCGCGGAGCACGCGCAACACGACGCCGTCGACGTGCCACCGGTGCGCGGCGCCGATTCGCACCTCGAAGCGGGCACCGACGAGCGACCGGTCGAAGGGCACGAGGACCTTCGCGTAGGTCTTCGTGTGGCAGACGAGCCGCGCGCCGCCGTCGGCGACCTCCGCGTGCGCCGCGCAGGCGACGACGGTGCCGACGAGGCCGTCGTAGGGCCGGAACGTCTGCGTCAAAGCCGAGAGGCGCCGCGACCGGTCCTTGACCGTCGCCGTGTGGACGCGCTTCATGGACGCCGCGGGCGTGCCCGGCCGCGCGTAGAACTGGGAGATGTTGATGAGGCCGAAGGCGTAGTCCTCCACCAGCGCGTACGTCGCGTCGAAGTCGTCGTCCGTCTCGCCGGGGAAGCCGCAGATGACGTCCGTCATCAGGCTCAGCCCGCCGTCGACGCGCGCCGCGAGGCCGTCGACGACGGCGCGGAAGTCGGCTACCGTGTACTCGCGGTTCATGCGG